TTCATTTCAGTATCTGTTATTACTTTCATAACAATAAAAATCCATAATAAAATCTTCATGTCTGAGGTTGTAAACGTGACCAAAGGTTGAAAAGTTCCAGTTGTTTTGACTCTTTAGCAACACACTGTAATCAGCAATTCTTGTTTGTGGCAATTATCTGTCTCCGCGGCCGAGACACCGCAACAACACCGTTTGTTTTGTTTTTAGAGTGCAGTGCTTTTATCAGCTTTGACAATCCACCGACCAAACTAAAGTCTTTCTCATGTTTTATATCGAAATTCAAAGAAGTCTCTCCAAGTTTCTGACATTTTTTGGACCTATTTGTTTTTCTAACTGTCTCATGTTTTGGACCAATTTGGTAAATGTTACATTGGATCATTTCCAAAGCCACAGCAAACTACGTCTCAGGGCAAACACACACTGGGCACAAACACACTGAGCTTGCGGGTTCCTGCCCTTATACACACAAACACATGTATGCACACACATATATGCACGCACACGTCGCACACACAAACACACACATACACACACACATATATACACACACGCACACACACACACATATATACATAAAAACACAAATATACACACACACATATATATATACAGTACACACAAACACATATACACACACACACATATATACACATGTATATACACACACAAACACACATATATACAAACACACACAAACTCACGTATAGTCACACACACACATATATATATACACAAACTCACGTATAGTCACACACACACACACACATATATATATACACAAACTCACGTATAGTCACACACACACACACAGACACACATATATACAAACACACACAAACTCACGTATAGTCACACACACACACACACACACATATATATACACAAACTCACGTATAGTCACACACACACACACACACACAGACACACACACACAGACACACACACACACAGACACACACACACACACACACACACACACACACACATACACGTTTTTGTTACCTGGTGGGTCCCTTTGACAGGGCCGTTCAGAATGGGACCCATAGACATAATCTTTTTTTACTGGGACTACTTTAAGTAATACAAAACAGTCAATAGAAACCAAACAACTATTTTAAAAGAATTTTATTTTAGATTTTTTTTTTCGAATTGCAGTGATTCTATTTTTGACATAGAATTTAATGCCACTCCATGTCCGATGTCTCAGGTCATCTGGTGAGGCATTAATGCAGGCCAGGCCAGGCCAGGCCAGGCAGTGAGACTTCCCAGGGACCTTTCCAGTCTGTATGAAAGGTACAAATATATTAGCAATATACACTCCCAGGGTTAGGACCAAGCAGCCTGGCTGTAATCCCCCACCTGGTACACTTACCAGAAGGGGCACTGCCACTACCATGGGGTGCATCTGGATGAATGGTTGAAGGTTCTCCGCTTGAAGTTTCTTTTAGCCCGTCCGTTTGTGAGAGGATCTCTACTGCTCTCCCTGTCGCACAGAAAATAAAAATACAAGTGGCCTTTAGGGGAAAAAAATCATACATATTTTAATAATATCAAGAATTACCTTCAGGCTCAATTTGTATCTGGTCGAGGCTCTTTCCTTCGAATTCCGTCACTCTTCCCTGCTCCATGGCCATTAACACTTTGCTGATTTTGGCCAGCTCCAGTGTCCCCTCTGGTAGTCTGTAATATTGCCTGTGGATGCGAATGTCATGGCCGAGGAAGTTGGCAAGTATGTCCATCTCATTCTCTTTCATATTGAGAACTGTAGACATAGTAGCTATGTGCTTTCTAAGTTTGGTTGAGGATAGCATCTCTGGATGCACCGCACCACATTCTTTGGCTACCTGGCGTAGGGAGTCTGATCCCCTGATGTGGGTGTCTGCGCCCGGGCGGGAAAAGAAGTATGGGTTATGGTCAGAGATGGAACAGGCCCTTCTGTTCTCCACCAGCACCTCCATCGAAGCAATCATTTCAGGAGTCAAAAGAACCGGCACTTTCCGACTTCTTTTCCCTTTAATTTCAATGCGTTGAAAATGCTGACACAGCTTTTTCTCAAGTTGGGACAGTCCCAGAGCAATGTCAGAATGGATCCCAGTCTTACTTCTTAAGGTAAAGGCTGTCAGTGGCATCTTTGAAACCTCACCTTCCCTTCTTCGATTGAAAATAATGACCTCACAAAGAGTCAAAACTGCCAGTTTAGACCAATGCTTAGACGTTGGCTCACTTATTAGGGTTTGCACATATTCAGGTCGACATACCTCAATATGTGCATGCATGGCTCTAACGTCCTCAGTCAGAGGGAGCAGGTCCGGAGTGTTCCACTTGGCTTGCCGGAGGATCTGTAGGGCAGCAGAAGAAACACAGACGTCCCACCTCTTCTCAAAAAGCAGTTTTTGCTTCGTTAATTAACCTACCGACTTCTCTCATTTTCTGCCTAATGTAATCATGCTTAGTCTTATCATGCCCGTGTTTTAAGTACATGTGCTCTCCGAGTCTCAGAATCCTCTTTTCTGCTTTGACAACACCCGTGACCTCATCCTGATGCATTGCCGAAATTAAAGACCACAGCTTTTTGCTGATGCCCTCCGGTACAGGCTGGGCTAGGGAGCAGAGGGACTGGACCCTACTTCTACCTGGTTTAGCCTGGTTTAGCCTGGTTTAGCCTGGGCATCTTTCTGTGAAAGCCGGCACCTGGCCACATGCCTCCACAGCGACTTTCGCTTAAGCAATGCCCCACAGTCTATACAGTGCAAAAACTCACTGGATTTAACTGGGCAATTTGGCTGTTTAGCTGGGACTAAAGTTCCAATGCCGGCCTTTAAAACCTCAAAATTGTGCTCACGGTTTCCACTATTCCTGATCAAATCAAACTGAAGTTTACGTGCTTTAGATTTCACAGGTAGAGCCAATGCTCTGGCTACGTCACTTTCATTTCCATGTTTTCTAGTCAAATGACGGGACATTTTGTGGCAGGACATTGAACAGTAGAGGCAGAAGTGTCTCTTGCTGTAAACTCGCCCCCCATTTTTCTTCTTTTGCAGCTGCATGATAACAATCTTATTTGCCTTTGGTTCGTCACTTTCCGAGTCTTGAAGAAAAGTGTTTTTGATTTTTCTTTTTCCATACTTTTTTACAGGTTTCTTCTTGACAGTTAAATCGTCAGAATCTGAGTCGACTTCATCAATTAGGGACTCTTGACTAAGCTGCACAAACAACAAATAATTTGTAATAATTCTATATAACAATTTGAAGTCATGACTTGTAGTCAGCACTTACCAGTGGTTTGTAAGCGTGCGCTTCAGTGTGCTCCTCCATGATTTCTTGCAGCCTAATGAACCACACACTTGCACCTTTTTCTAGCCTGACACCTGATTTCCTCTGTTGTGCTGCTCCATGATTGGCTCCAGCCTGCTGGACTGAAATTGCCCCAGTGTGCCCCTCCTTGATATCCCGCAATCCACCACCAGGGTTCCGACACAGAACACACTTTTTTCAGGAAAGTAAACCTCCAGGGGTCCTTTCCATATTTTTACAGAGACTGCATAAGGACCGTTAGAAAAGCATTACCCATTGATTATTAAGCTTGGACCAGTGGGGTCCGGTGTTCGGGCCCCACCACGTAAAACCAGTCCCCATGACGTGAGTGGAATCTCAGGTTATGGAACCCACCAGGAGTTGAAAACAAGTGCACACACACACACACACACACACACACAGAGGTAACCATCCTTCTGCATTGTGATCTGAAACAGCAGCCACACCAGCTGTAATTACAAAGTACAATGTGGAAAAGTCACCACTGCCCGAGTCCAGAGTAACTCCCACAGAAGAATGTTCACAGAGATACTGACAATACAGTATGTGCAGTTTACTGAAATAGCCTAATAGCTAGCTAATACTCCGGCTACAGCTACGTCAACAAACACACATCTGTGGGGAAGGTTTATTGAGTTTTATGTATTCATGTATTTATTTATTTGAATTTGGGACAGTACATATTAATAAATGTGTCTGCAAACAGCGTCAACATAAATATTCTGGAATTAGCACAATGGCTATATAGCATCCATTGTCCTAAGGCAGGAAACACACAAACACACATGTAGCTAAAAGTTCAAACATATTGAGTCGACAAGCACAAAAATTGTTTAAAAAGAAGAGAAATAGAATGACATAAAGACATAAAAGCAATTTACGGTCACACAAACGTTTTATTCAAGCAAGAGACATTTCAAGATAATTTTAGAAGGGCGACTGGATTAGCAAGTAGAAAGATCTCCACCTGAACCGGTTAGCGCTAACTGCTGTTTGAGCGGGAACTTGGAGCCACATTTATGCTAATGTTGTTGCAATGGGACAAGTGACCAATCTCCTGCTAAAGGCACATGAATAAAACAAGCTAAAAAAGTACAGGACACAACTGTCGCTGTGAAATTTATGAATAAAAAACTGTTTCAATACAAGACTTTAACAACTCGCTAAGTCACTAATGAAGTAGGACTGAAAAAACCTGCACTGCTATTGCTCTTCTCTTGATTGTATATAATTATCTCCTGAAAAGACGTTTATTTTACTTTTAACAAGTTGCACACATCTGTCTTTTGCACAATCTGAGTGATTCTATCTGCGCCAAATGTGACATGTACATTTCTCCAGCGTGAGTCTATCTTATCTTATCTAAAGTCTTTATTCAAGGACTATGGTAAAAAACAACAGAGTAAAATACTTGGATATATTTTATACTTTTCAAGACAGAGGTTTTATTCTTGTTTCTTTGATGCTAGAGTTAGAGATTTTGTTTGATTTGAATTAATATAGAGTTTTTGTTCATTTATCTTATGTGCTGTGTGGTTCTCATTCCTACTGTTTTGTAACTTGTGATGCAACACTGAAATTTCCCCACTGTCTTAATAAAACATAATATTGCGACTGGAAAGAAGAGGCCTGGTCAAAGAGCTCCCACTTCAGCAGCGATAATGTGTTTTGTGCTTTCTCTGCAGCTGATCGCGCTGACTATGGACGTCTTCACCGATGTGGACATTTTCAAAGAGCTCATCAGCGCCGCCTTGAGGGGAGTGGTGGTCTACCTCCTGTTGGACCAGACGCATTTCAGCAGCTTCACCGACATGTGCCACAAACTGGGGGTCTGCCTCAGCGACATCAAGGTGAGAACAAGGTGTAGGTCCTGGATTTCTGATTATCACGTCACAAACACTCGTCTGGGCTTTTCCAAGAGCACACACCCAAGATCTAACTGCTTCGTGGGCCTAGGCCTAATTTAACGGGGCTTTAGGTTGTGCTTGTCACCGCAGCCGGACTCCCCAAGAAGAGAGAACAGAGAGAGACCTGGGAGAGAGGCCAGAGAGAGAGCAAGAAGAGAGACCAGAGAGAGACCAGAGAGGGACCAGAGAGGGACCAGAGAGAGAGCAAGAAGAGAGACCAGAGAGAGACCAGAGAGAGAGCAAAAAGAGAGACCAGAGAGATAGGCCAGAGAGAGAGACCAGCGGGAAAGGCCAGAGAGAGCGACCAAGGAGAGACTAGAGAGAGAGGCCAGAGAGAGACCAAGGAGAGACTAGACAGACAATCCAGAGAGAGAGAGAGCAAGAAGAGACCAGAGAGAGACCAGAGAGAGACCAGAGAGAGACCAGAGAGAGACCAGAGAGGCCAGAGAGAGACCAGAGAGAGACCAGAGAGGCCAGAGAGAGACCAGAGAGAGACCAGACAGACCAGAGAGACCAGAGAGAGACCAGAGAGAGGCCAGAGAGGCCAGAGAGAGACCAGACAGACCAGAGAGACCAGAGAGAGACCAGAGAGACCAGAGAGAGAGAGGCCAAGAAGAGACCAGAGAGAGACCAGAGAGAGACCAGAGAGACCAGAGAGAGACCAGAGAGAGACCAGAGAGGCCAGAGAGAGACCAGAGAGAGACCAGAGAGAGACCAGAGAGGCCAGAGAGAGACCAGAGAGAGACCAGACAGACCAGAGAGAGACCAGAGAGAGGCCAGAGAGACCAGAGAGGCCAGAGAGAGACCAGAGAGAGACCAGACAGACCAGAGAGACCAGAGAGACCAGAGAGACCAGAGAGACCAGAGAGAGACCAGAGAGAGACCAGAGAGACCAGAGAGAGACCAGAGAGAGGCCAGACAGACCAGAGAGAGACCAGAGAGACCAGAGAGAGACCAGACAGACCAGAGAGAGACCAGAGAGAGGCCAGAGAGACCAGAGAGGCCAGAGAGAGACCAGAGAGAGACCAGACAGACCAGAGAGACCAGAGAGACCAGAGAGAGACCAGAGAGACCAGAGAGAGACCAGAGAGACCAGAGAGAGACCAGAGAGAGACCAGAGAGAGGCCAGAGAGAGGCCAGAGAGAGAGAGAGAGACCAGAGAGAGGACCAGAGGGAGACCAGAGAGACCAGAGAGAGACCAGAGAGAGACCAGAGAGAGACCAGAGATAGGCCAGAGAGAGAGACCAGCGGGAAAGGCCAGAGAGAGCGACCAAGGAGAGACTAGAGAGAGAGGCCAGAGAGAGACCAAGGAGAGACTAGACAGACAATCCAGAGAGAGAGAGAGCAAGAAGAGAGACCAGAGAGAGAGAGACCAAGAAGAGACCAGAGAGAGACCAGAGAGAGACCAGAGAGAGACCAGAGAGGCCAGAGAGAGACCAGAGAGAGACCAGAGAGAGACCAGACAGACCAGAGAGACCAGAGAGAGACCAGCGAGACCAGAGAGAGACCAGAGAGAGGCCAGAGAGACCAGAGAGGCCAGAGAGAGACCAGACAGACCAGAGAGACCAGAGAGAGACCAGAGAGACCAGAGAGAGAGAGACCAAGAAGAGACCAGAGAGAGACCAGAGAGAGACCAGAGAGACCAGAGAGAGACCAGAGAGGCCAGAGAGAGACCAGAGAGAGACCAGAGAGGCCAGAGAGAGACCAGAGAGAGACCAGACAGACCAGAGAGACCAGAGAGAGACCAGCGAGACCAGAGAGAGACCAGAGAGAGGCCAGAGAGACCAGAGAGAGAGAGACCAAGAAGAGACCAGAGAGAGACCAGAGAGACCAGAGAGAGACCAGAGAGAGACCAGAGAGGCCAGAGAGAGACCAGAGAGAGACCAGAGAGGCCAGAGAGAGACCAGAGAGGCCAGAGAGAGACCAGACAGACCAGAGAGAGACCAGAGAGAGGCCAGAGAGACCAGAGAGGCCAGAGAGAGACCAGAGAGAGACCAGAGAGACCAGAGAGACCAGAGAGATAGGCCAGAGAGAGAGACCAGCGGGAAAGGCCAGAGAGAGCGACCAAGGAGAGACTAGAGAGAGAGGCCAGAGAGAGACCAAGGAGAGACTAGACAGACAATCCAGAGAGAGAGAGAGCAAGAAGAGACCAGAGAGAGACCAGAGAGAGACCAGAGAGACCAGAGAGAGACCAGAGAGGCCAGAGAGAGACCAGAGAGAGACCAGAGAGGCCAGAGAGAGACCAGAGAGAGACCAGACAGACCAGAGAGACCAGAGAGAGACCAGAGAGAGGCCAGAGAGACCAGAGAGGCCAGAGAGAGACCAGACAGACCAGAGAGAGACCAGAGAGAGACCAGAGAGACCAGAGAGAGAGAGGCCAGAGAGAGACCAGAGAGAGACCAGAGAGAGACCAGAGAGACCAGAGAGAGACCAGAGAGAGACCAGAGAGAGACCAGAGAGAGACCAGAGAGAGACCAGAGAGAGACCAGAGAGGCCAGAGAGAGACCAGAGAGAGACCAGACAGACCAGAGAGAGACCAGAGAGAGGCCAGAGAGACCAGAGAGGCCAGAGAGAGACCAGAGAGAGACCAGACAGACCAGAGAGATCAGAGAGACCAGAGAGACCAGAGAGACCAGAGAGAGACCAGAGAGAGACCAGAGAGACCAGAGAGAGACCAGAGAGAGGCCAGACAGACCAGAGAGAGACCAGAGAGACCAGAGAGAGAGAGACCAAGAAGAGACCAGAGAGAGACCAGAGAGAGACCAGAGAGACCAGAGAGAGACCAGAGAGAGACCAGAGAGACCAGAGAGAGACCAGAGAGGCCAGAGAGAGACCAGAGAGAGACCAGAGAGAGACCAGAGAGGCCAGAGAGAGACCAGAGAGAGACCAGACAGACCAGAGAGAGACCAGAGAGAGGCCAGAGAGACCAGAGAGGCCAGAGAGAGACCAGAGAGAGACCAGACAGACCAGAGAGACCAGAGAGAGAGAGAGACCAGAGAGACCAGAGAGAGACCAGAGAGACCAGAGAGAGACCAGAGAGAGACCAGAGAGAGGCCAGAGAGGCCAGAGAGAGAGACCAGAGAGAGACCAGAGGGAGACCAGAGAGACCAGAGAGAGACCAGAGAGAGACCAGAGAGAGACCAGAGAGAGGCCAGAGAGAGAGACCAAGGAGAGGTAGAACTTCGGCTACGTCCTCCACCAGAAAAGACACACATCACATCTTTCTGTCATAAGTTTATTCCCGGTGAAACTTCATTCATAGTTCCCTGCCATGGTGTGACCTTGTTCTGTTGACACAAGCGCTCAGAGCAGATTAGCAGAGTCCACGCTGCTCCTGCGTTTGAACATTCCTCACATGCAGCGAGGACGAGCGCCTTTCGGTAGCAGCGAAGCCGGATTTTCGAGTTTCTCTGCGTCTGAAAAAAACAACAGTCTCTGGAGCCTTTAGCGTAATGACAGAAAACAGCAGAGATAGAAAAGCAAGTCTCGACCTGTGGATGATCTCGAAGGCTTTGTGTTCAAGGCTTTGTTGAGTTGGAGGGTTTGGAAGAAAGACTAGAGAGAGACTGGAAAGAGACTAAAGAGGAGAGACCAGAGAGAGAACAGAAAGAGAGAGAGCAGGGAGAGAGCAAAGAAAGAGACTGAAGATAGTTCAGTGAGAAACCAGAAAGAGAGATGAGAGAAAGAGACTAAATAGAGTTCATGGAAAGACCAGAGTGTGAACCCAGAGAGAGACCAGAGTGAGAAACCAGAGAGAGACCGAAGTGAGAAACTAGAGAAAGACCAGAGTGAGAAACCAGAGAGAGACCGGAGTGAGAAACCAGAGAAAGACCGGAGTGAGAAACTAGAGAAAGACCAGAGTGAGAAACCAGAGAGAGACCGGAGTGAGAAACCAGAGAAAGACCGGAGTGAGAAACTAGAGAAAGACCAGAGTGAGAAACCAGAGAGAGACCGGAGTGAGAAACCAGAGACAGAAACCAGAGAGAGAAACCAGAGAGAGACCGAAGTGAGAAACTAGAGAAAGACCAGAGTGAGAAACCAGAGAGAGACCGGAGTGAGAAACCAGAGAGAGACCGAAGTGAGAAACCAGAGAGAGACCAGAGTGAGAAACCAGAGAGAGACCGGAGTGAGAAACCAGAGAAAGACCGGAGTGAGAAACTAGAGAAAGACCAGAGTGAGAAACCAGAGAGAGACCGGAGTGAGAAACCAGAGAGAGACCGGAGTGAGAAACTAGAGAAAGACCAGAGTGAGAAACCAGAGAGAGACCGGAGTGAGAAACCAGAGACAGAAACCAGAGAGAGAAACCAGAGAGAGACACCAGAGAGAGAAACCAGAGAGAGACCAGAAAGAGACCAGAGAGAGAAACCAAAGAGAGACCAGAGTGAGAAACCAGAGAGAGACCAGAGTGAGAGACCAGAGAGAGACCAGAGTGAAAAACCAGACAGACCGGAGTGAGAAACCAGAGAGAGACCAGAAAGAGACCAGAGAGAGAAACCAAAGAGAGACCAGAGTGAGAAACCAGAGAGAGACCAGAGTGAGAAACCAGAGAGAGACCAGAGAGAGAAACCGGAGAGAGACCAGAGAGAGACCAGAGAAGGAAACCAGAGAGAGACCGGGGAGACTTCAGAATGTGTTGGACCTGTTTCCATGGAGACGTCCCATACATTTCTATCTGTCATCAATCATTACTGAGGTTTTATTGCTCATATAAATACTTGGATAAGCATTAACGAGGCTGGCACCGATATGACCCACAGACAGATGTATTTAATGCCACTCTATTGAAGTTAATTATTATTCACAAATAACAATTAGAGTCAGAAACTTTGCCCCTTTACTGTGTTTTGTATTTTAAATCTCATGGCTGTGTGTTTTTTATTGATCCTCACTGGTGCTTTGTCTGCGGATGTATGCGTGGATAAATAAAGTTATTTGAATTGAATTGGAAAGCCCGTTCAAAATTAAATTGCTCATTAAGTAAGTAAGTGAAGCTTTGTTCATACAGCACAGACCAAAGTAATTACGCTTCACAGAAAAAGAAGTTAGAATACACATTTATTCATTTATTTATTGCATCACAGTTGCTATTATCATTAAAAAAAAACATATCAAAACCATTTTTTCCTGAATGGGAGTGGGGAAAAGAGAACGGTTTTAATCCCACCCCATTTTCCATTTACACAGTAGCTTCTCTGCCGCTGCAAACTTAAAAAGGACAGTTAAATGGGGCATAAGGCCGGAGCAGATTATCTATTATTGTGTGATGATAAGTTTTTCTAATATATTGATTGTTATTTTAAACTTTTTTGATATAGTATTGGTCTCCAGGGAGAATATCAGCCTGACTTTTGTAATGGGGATTCACAATAAACAAACAAATGACATAACTGTAGAGAGGTAAAGGCAGTCTGTATCTGTGTTTGAAGAGGCTATGTAGGTGAAGTATTTATGTACGACAGCTCAGAAGGCTCTCCTCCTGTGCGGTGTGCAGTTGTTGGAACAGTCTTAATCGGGGACACTCAATTCTAAGGGAGTACTAAACATTTTTCTCAAGAGTCTTGATTTTGGGCATTTTTAGAAAAAAAACCAGAAGAAATTGTTGAGTTTCATTTGAGTGGCCTGCAGGGGGCGCTTATCTGGGAAAGCCTTGATCCACCTCGCCCGCCTCATTCCAGTGAAGAAACTCTTGTCTTTCTCTCTATTTGCGCGGTAGCTACAAGCGTACACCGCACAGAAAGATGGCATTTTGACAGCGCTTCTTCTTCTACTATATCTCCGTGTATAAACCCGGCAGACTGCACCGCCAGGGTACGTCACATCCGGTCCAGTCCTGTCCCACGTATGTCATTCGCGCCACTGCCCCAACGTCATGTGAAACCCAAAAATAGTGTAGTTTCCCTTTGAAATGTCCTGATTTCTCCTTATGCAAAACCAAATGGCAAGTATCAGTGGCTATTATTCCCCCTCTCTTGTTTCAGAACATCCGGGTGCGGACGGTCCAGGGGCTGCAGTACCAGTGTCAGTCCTCTATGAAGTTCCATGGCGCTCTGGAGCAAAAGTTTATCCTCATCGACTGCAGGACGGTGCTCTATGGGACGTACAGGTCAGTTCAGAATAATACATGGGGACAAAATATCAAAACATAATCTATATGTACCGTATTTATCTTATTTCATTGACAAATAATAATCAAATATGTGTGTTCTATTTTATCATTAATTTATGGCTAAACATTGACTTTCAGTACATCTCCAACTAAAACATTACACTCAAAGCAGTTATCGCTCTTTTAAAACAAAAGTATTGTACATGAATAACTTTGGGTGATTTCCCAGATGAAAGTAACAACAAAAGAGTCATTCTACTGCTCCCTCTGGTGGTAGCATAGGGATTTACAGAAGGAAATCATAACCCGTGCTACTTGTTGACTTAAAATAATACATTTTAAAACATGAAACGACAAAGTAAAGAGTTTCATTATCATCTGTAATGGTCAAATGTATGCATAATGTCTTTAAATAAGACTTATTTGGCTCATAAATTTGGCAGAGAAGTTGGGTTTTTGCAAATTGGGAGGCCAATGGCTTGGCTAGTATTATTCCATCCAAACCATAATTGCATTGGTTGTATAATATATGTTTTTTTGCTTCCCACAGTTACACATGGACCTATGAGAAGCTGAACCTGAGCATGGTGCTGGTCATCACCGGACAGCTGGTCTCTTCCTACGACGAGGAGTTCAGACGGCTCTACGCTCGCTCCGTCGTCCCGCCGCTTCTCTCCCGTGAAAAAATGCATCCCACCCACTACCTGAACAGCCCATCCTCCAGCCAGCTCTCTTTGCACCAACTCCACCTGAAAAACAAAGGCATGAACGGCTACGGCAACGGCGTGATGACAAGAGGCGTGAGCTTGCAAGACAGGCTGCACCACTTTCCGGAAATGGGAAGTCTCGTACGGGGACACAGCTACGGAAGCGATCTGCAAAAGTTCAACTCGGGGGCACGTCTGAGAATGGGGATGAAAGATATTGGACTTGAGAGACATGGAAGTGCCCTGAGACAGAAGGAGTTTCAAAACAGATCCACGCAACAACATCTAAGGCATCAATCTCGCTATGGAGCGGACCATAATCTCATTCCGTTCAACTCAGAGACATCCCTGAATAAGTGGAAGTTGGATGCTTACTTGAACGGTCCGCTAGATCCCTCTATGTCACCAGTTGGATCCCCGTATAGCAGCTACACAGGCCTAAACGAACTGCAATCGCAAAATATCCACCTAAAATCCAAGGACATTCGGCAAAGGATGGAAGAGACACGGCAAAAGAGGTTGAGTTTGCAAGATTACGCCAATTTACACCAGAGTCAGGAGTCGTTGAGGAATATCTATTTGACGCAAGAAAGGCCGAAAGCAAAGTATTTGTCGAGAGGAAAGGAGTCGAGACAGAGCGCAGCGGATTTGGAGGAGATGGCGCATCAAAGCTACCTCAAGAAGGAGGCGGAGAAGGGGCTCCCGGATGGGAAAAGATCGGTATCGCATAATGATTTCAAAAGCATGACGGAGAGGAAGTTGTTGACGTACAATTGGCACGATGCAATGTCAAGGTCCACCTCAGATCTGGAGGTGAAAGCGAACGATCCGAGCGGAAAGATTGGGCCTGGTTTGAAACACCAGAGACACATGGAGTCGCTGACGGAAATCCCAGAAGAGAAAGAAGGAGCTAGTCGTGTAAATAGTTCAGATTTGGTGCCACAGAAGGAGGAACAGACAAGAAAAGATGACAAAGTTGTTAGTTTTGAAGAGAAGAGAGATGCTGTGAAAGAGCGAAAAGGGTCTGCGGGTAAAATTACAGATGTTTTGGGTTCTGGAGTCAAGGATATTAAGAAAGTCCCGCAAATGGAAGTAGAAAATGGACCAAAGAAATCAACACTAGAAAGAAAAGCGAACGAGGAAGCGAAGCCACAAGATGCGTCGAGCTTGCAACGAAGAAACTCAGTCAAGTCCAAAGTGTCACCAGACGACAAGAAACCAGGAAAGAAAGATTCACTACAGAGAAAGCTGTCTTTGAGGTCGCAAAAACTGTCTGGGTCGAATCAATCTCTAAGGACAGAAAGCTCAATGGGTTCAACGGTCGGGAAGCAAGAACCAACACCCAAAAAGTCACAGAAATCGCCAACGTCACCCATCGAAGAGAAAACTAAGCTAGCATTCAGTCGGTTTTCTCCTCAACGTTTAAGCAAAAGAAAAACAGATGGATCGCGAAGTGCACTCAACGACGAAGCTGCGACGGCGTATGAAGCCAGGAAGGAGAAGGTGTACAGTCGGTATGAGTATTTGCTCGGGAGAGACGACAAAAGTTCTAGAGGAGCTCCCACAACGGACAGTGACAAAAGCTCGACATTAGACCGGAAAAGTGACGGGAGTGCTCATTCTCAAAGCACAGGGATCGGACGCTTCATGCAGAAACTTATTGGGAACAAAACTAAGTGAAATTTAAGTATTCAAGAAATCCAAAGACAATAGAGGTATATACTACAGAAACATGTGGCATCTGAGTATTCACCCATGCAACGGCGAGTCAGCCATTTTGGATATAATGTTATTTATTTGTTTTGGCCTATTTTACAATCACCGTGGGTTTGGTTACTGGATGCTATTTCTGCTGCAATATTTCACACATTTGTTGGAAAAGATTCAAGGAAGTCTTCTGGTTCTTGATGATGTTTTAACACCCGACCAATTCAACTCAATGTATTCATATAATTTGGCTTAATTGAGAATACAAGGTCCATAACAGTAAAAATGACAGACAGACAGACAATCATTTTTGGTATTGCCCCCAAATCACAACACTAGTTTTGGAGGAGTTTAAAAAATTGCCAATTCGCCAACAAGAAGTTAGGAGCCATTGGTCTAAAGAGAAGTGGGATGACCAATATATGTCCGTCCGTTAATCTAGAAAACCATGATAAGATTGTTTTAAAAACCCAAACCCCCAGATTATTCCACTGATGCACTCATCTTTTCGAGGTCTCCCTGAGGTCTTCCCATTGTTTTTTTGTTGTTGTTCCGTGCCGATGCAGGAGGGTCTAAGGACAGTGATTATATAGGACATGTATGGACAGTGGTCATCCGTCATCCCGCAAGCTATGGACCAACGGCTCCTATGTGTTTGTTATTATTGCTTTTCCTAACGTTCAAGTGGTAACCCTCACCGTAACAACTTTGTAAAGTCCTCCTTGAATTGTAGTTCGAAGAATTCCACTCTGGTTGGTGGCAAATACATTGAACGCTGACTCAAATATTTTACAGTTTTGTGGAGAGAGTTTGATTGTACAAGTACCGTGTATATTTCCGTTGGACTAAAATGAATATTTATGGTTTTGTGGTTTAAGGATGTACTGTATTAATAAATACATATGTATACAAATACTTTTTAACAGACAGACTGAGCTCTCACTTCTGAAAACCAGTACAAAATGCAGCCTTTGACTTTATCTCTGGGCTTGGAACAAAGGTGACCCCAAAGCTACAGATCTCAGGTTGTTTTTGTGATACATTTGCGTCTACTTTTCTTCTTCATCCAGGCGGTGGCCCAGTTTTAATTGGCTCTATCTGTCACTGTGTAAACACTGAAGTACAATGAAACCTACTGAGTTCAAACCACTCCTTTCAAAACACAATGTTAAAAAGAATTTTTGATACGTATCTGTCGTTGGTTTTGTTAACGCGCAGTATTAGCCATAGACTATAACTATTCCATAGTTATTATTACCATGACTATAATAATGGAATGATGCAAAACAAAACAAAATCTTCAATCTTTATTAAAACACCTCACACGTCACAACAGCAATAATCTATTTAAATGTATATAATATAAAACAAAATGAATTAACTTCAGTGTTGTTTTCATTCTCAGAGTGTATTCTCAAGTGTATTTCTTCTGCTGCCAAATGAAGTGGCGCCACCTGGTGTTGCAGTTCAAACACAGCTCATTTGTTAAACATAAATTCCATAAAATAAATAAAACAAAGAAAGGAAACAATGAAAAGTATAACCCCAAATGTGTCTATCACTAATCAAAACATAACATTTGCTTCAGATTATTGTATTAAGCATCTGTCACCTTGTAGACAGTATAGAGATGGACAATGCTAACCCGCTAGCTCAATGACGCCTAATAGGGAAGAGCTCACGGACAGTTTTACTCTAACTCTGTCAGCTCACGCTCCTATTGACTTACATTGAAAAGTAAACTCCTCTAGCTCAGTAACTGTGTCACACTCATCATTTTGGGCTTTAAAAAAAATCACGATCCTAGTGTTTTATATTGATATTGCGATTGTGTGTCTTTGTAAATCCAGTCTGGCCAAATACAAATTGACCAATCAGATGTCTTAATTCACAGAGGAAACTCCAGCTTGCCTTAGCAACCGTCTTAGCAACGTGTCTGCCCAGATAATAAAATACATCCGTGGTCTGCCCGTGTTACGTGTTGTATTTCTCTCTTTGTTCCAGGAAGTAATTTTCCCCCTATTCAAATAATTAAATTGAAAGTAGTTAAAAATAGGATTGGTGTACAGCCATGTTTTTGCAAATGCACAGGGCCTTTTGATTGAGCTCTGCCGGTGATCAGGAACAAAAACAATACACTTCTCAAAATGTATGCTCTAAAAATGATGAAAGATAATGGCATATTTTTGGGTATGTTCTAAACAACTATTCCATATTTACGGCGGGGTCAACAAATGTGCTCTTGACAACCACTATTTATCTATTTTCTTTAACACACAGCCTGGAGCTAGCTACAGAAGAAAACGCCGCTCACATTTGCATTCTTAAATTGTCCCACAATGGAGAAATTTGTGTTGTGTCACCGATTATAGAACAGCAGAGGAACACACAGCACAAGATGAATTAACCATAACTCTATACTGAAATCAAATATAATCTCTTTGTCAAAGTAATTACCCTAATGTCATCAACGTTATCAAATTTAATACTGATAAAGTTGTCAAGAATATTTGTTTTCCCCTAAAGGATCACGTCCAAAATAGGCGTATAGACCCTAGACTGTAAATATTAGTAGATTGGCTGAAATAAATTAGCTTATGGGAAAATAAATGGGAAGATTGCTTGGAAATCTGCTGTGAGATTGGAAATGAATGGGTACTTTGAGCTCCATAACATTGGCCTGTATTGTCCAATATATATAATGTCCAACCAAATGGCAATAGTTTTATATAAAGTACTCCAGACATTTATTCCTCTCATCGTCGAGCTCTTGAGTCTCGATCTCAAACTTCTTCATAGCGATGAAATACTGCACAAACGGTTCTCCCAGCGCGCTGCAGATCACCTCGTCTTCAGCCAAAACCTCCAGCGCATCATCCAGTTTTATCGGGATCGCAAACTCCTTCTGCTGCCCTGGCGTTTTGGAAAGTCTGCTCTCCAAGTTCAGATTCCTCTTTATTCCATCCAACCCGGCGGCAACAGTAGCGGCTAGCACGATGTAGGGATTAGCCATAGCCGAACCTAGCTTGTTGTCGATGTGCGTTTCTCTCCCGCCGTGACTTTTGATGTTGAAAGAAGCGCTGTTGTCGTTGCACCCGCATGTAGCGTAGAGCAAGCTTTTGGGATCTTTCGTAGCCTTCGCCATGTGACTTCTGCAACCAAGACCCGGCGACATCAGACAACTCAACGCAGCCGAATGAGTTAGCAAACCCGCTAGCCATTTGCGACCGATTTCAGATAGATCCCCCGGTTTGTCCCCAACTTGAAAGAGGCTACGACGGCCGTTAGCATCCCACAAGCTATGAGAAAGAACCCCAGCGTTGTACAACCCATCATCAGTGAAGAAGCTAGCGATATAGCTGTATTTACGAGCCATCTCTTTGATACCGGTGCGAAACGTGAACGCGCTATCTGCCGCCGAAATCCCGAACTCTGGCCTCAAGTTGATCTCCATTTGCCCCGGTCCGCTAGCAGACGCTATGCTATCGATATCGGCTCCCATGCAGTACATACTATCCACAAGCTGCTGGAAGAACGGCAAGTCGTGATTGCTGAGGAGGGTAGTAGCGGGAAATAGTAAAGTTTTTGGACCGATGCGATCTGGAGCTCCGAGAACGCAGCATTCGTAAGTGAAGGAGGAGTGAAGGGAGAACCCCATGCTCTGGAGCTGCCCCAGGAGTTGTTTGGCGATGAGGCGTGGCGAGGTGCGGAGGGGGTTGCCGGTCACGTTGCAGGGGTCACAGATGACGCGGGCGGTTTGTTCGGTCCACGGCACGGCCCTGAAGGTGGACAGGTCTGGGATCAGCAAGACATCGCTACTGAAGTTGGCTGTGGTTCCGTGGTCCACTTCCGTGATCTTGGGGCTCAGGGTTAGCTCCAGGTAACTCCGCGGCATCGGGACCCCGTACACGGCTTTCTCCTGGTGACAGACAGTGGTCGCTAATTACAATTTTTGTTGATTTTGGAAGCAACATGAGCTGATATTTGATAGATGTTGATAACCAGTTCTACTGCAGGTCATCTGGACAAAAGCACACAAAGATCAGACCCAAGTTGTCTTTCTGTTTTACACGGTCAGACGTCCATGGAGGAGACGGCAGAAGGCAGCACCAAACTATCGTCTTCTGGTCTCTCTTCCACGCACAGTCCTCCGTTATTGACTAAGACACACCCCTACACTTGTTTTCTGTAGCTCCCTGTTTACATGTAAATACAGAGAGCTTCACTTTGAAACTCTACTTTTTCCACGACTGCTTGTGTGCGTGTGTGTGTGTGTTTCATTCAATAAACGAGTATTGTGCGTGGAAGAGAGACCAGAAGACGATAGTTTGGAGCTGCCTTCTTTGTGTGCCTTTGTCCAGATGATTTGCAGTAGAATTAGTTGTTAACATAGGTCAATCAATACACAATTCGTACATAAGGCAACTCAAAGTGATTCTCAGGAATGGAGACAGTTTGTGTGGATAATTTGTTAGTTTTATTTTGACATTAGTTATCTGTCATGTAGGACTCCCTCAAGAAAGAGATAGATTATCTCAATGGGGCTATCCTTAAAAGACAAATATATGAATGTCTTGTTTAAGAATGTGAAAAAAATATCTCAAGCAGAGAGCATATGGTGAAACATATATCGAAGTAAAAAAAAATGCTATACCTGTAACTCTCTATTCTGCCACTAGAGGGAGACGTTTTTGTCAGTTTTTTTCTTTTTCTATTCCTGAAATAGGGAATTATCAGCTTCAATTTTGCCCCTAACTAATTTAGAAACAGAAAACTATTCAGAACCTGCTGTAATAGTGTGAAAAACATTAGCGGACCTTTACAAATGTAAGTCTATCTTTCTAAAAACAGAATAATGTAGTGTTTCCTCACATGGAAGAAGCGCACAGGGACCGTCTTGGACCGGGACACGCCGTGGAGGTCTGTGGCCTCGAAGCGGACGAAAGTGATGTTCTCTCGTGCGATCTGCTGCTTGATCTGCTCCATGGATGAGGCAAATATCTGGTCTCCAACGGTCTCAGGACTCAGAAGGTCTGCGGAAAGAAGCCGTCAGTTCATTCAATTCAATGCATTTTATGTGTAGCCCTAAATCACAACAGCAGTCGTCTCGGAGGACTTTACAAAGGTCTTGATTCGTCCACAACAGATCAGAGAATCAAACCGTTCGAACGCAGGCAATGCAATAATAACAAACACATATAGTCCATAGGGAGTGGTACTGTATGTCCAATGTCTATGATGTTTATAAATGTTCTGTATCATCCCTGTCCTTTGACCCTCCTGCGTCATCAAGGACCGACTCAAAAACACAGTGGGAAAAAAGTGAGAAACCTTGTCGAGGCCCACATTGACAGAAAGATTCTCTCCCACACATGGGCAGGCTGTAGATCCAAGACTCAGGCTGTAATCCTTTAGGAGATGTAAAAGTAATCAGACAAAGGATGGAGCCTTGAAACTTTATAATAGAGAAAGGACTGTTAAAGTGCAGATGAAACTTGGAATCTCATTAGAATATTGTTCAAAAGTGAATTTACTTCTGTAATTCAACGTACTATGTGAAACTATATGACAGACTTTACATATTTTCACACATATCAACGTAAAAACAAGGCACATGTTTCCTCTATCTGTTGTATAGTTTCAGGGCTCCATCTTTTGTCGGTTTCACGTAAAATCTCTCAAAAAAAAGCATCTAAAAGCTTAACTATGGTGGAAAAAACCTTAATTTTAGATCCATAATCATAACCCCAAGCAATATGAAGCTGAAGTCCAAACAATTTAGGGTTATCTGTATAGTGTTGAAGTTTGCTTGTGTCTCTAGAGAAGACACTAAATCTTGGTTGCCAGTGAAATATTATATGTAGCCAACAAGTCTGAGGCTGAGAATGTGAGGATCAAACCAACTGGATGTAACTGGCAAATACTCTTCGATTTGTTGATACATTTTTAGAATCAATTTCACAAACAGTTGCCTATACTTACTAGGAATTTGTTTACTATCTTTCCTCCTCAGCCAATCCCCATCACTGTCAAATTCAATCTCTAAAAAAAAAAAATCAAAGAGACGTACCTGTGTGCTGCTCTCTGTGGGACGTCCCGGCGCTCTGCTTTCCTCTGTGTGTGTGGAGCTCAGGCCTGAACCCGCTGGATGCATCTACCCTGGACTGGGGCCACGCTTCTATGGGCTCGCTGTCTCTGTCCCGGCCCCCTCTTCTGGAAGCCTCCGAGGGCCTGAAGGTGCTGAACTCCCCCTGGTGGCCGCTCCTGTCATCGCCGCTCAGGTAGGTGTAGGCCCCTCTGGCTCTGTCGTCCCGGTCCCGCGCCGCACTGCTGTCCCGGAGGATGGACTTCAGCTCCTCCATGGTCTGTTTGGGGATGGTTCTGCTCTGGGGCTCTCTGGCTCCGTCTCTGGCTCCGTCTCTGGCTCCGTCTCTGGCTCTGTCTCTGGCTCCATCGACCCCCGTGGATTCTACTGCCCTCTGCTCATCATTCACAGATCTGGGGGAGAAACGAATGGAAGAGATACAAGAAATTAATTATGACCAGTGGGACAGGTGTTTTAATTATGAAGTTTAGTTATTGAAGCAATACCCTCTGAGATTTGAACATAATAATAATAATGCATTGGTTTTTACTGTAGCGCTTTTCAGGATACTTCACATGCTGTTATTCTGTCACTCCATTCCCGGTTGTGATAAACTACTTCTGTAGCCACAGCTGCCCTGGGGCACACTGACAGAAGAGAGGCGACCAGTTTGTGCCATCAGCCCCTCTGACCACCACCAACCAATCACACACACACCAGACTCCTTCTAGGCAATTGGGGTGAAGTGCCTTGCCGAAGGACACAATAACAGTTTGGCACTTTACAGCCGCAGCCGCCCCACTGTGGCACCTGGTGTTCCCAGAGGTCTCCCATCACAGTACTAACCAGGCCCTGCCCTACTTAACTTCACAGCTCTGACGGGATCTCTTTGTTGATAAAATGTGAAAATCCAAATGAAACAGTCAGGTTTAGAGTTCGATAAGACACATTCCACTGAAAGATTCAAGACGGTTATAGTCCGAGTTATGAGATTTGTGCTTTGATTGACAGCTATGTATTTGTGTATAATCTCTTTGTAACAGTCAGTCAACTTTTTATTATTTTTTTTTACAAATAATTACAATTGCAAATAAATCTGTCTCACACTGACAACTCCCAAAGTTAGTTATAAAGTAGATTTTCTGAAGTCACGTCTGGTTTGTGTTTTTCTCTAAAGAGTTTGAGAAGACTTCATAACTCTACTGCACTCAAAGGATTAAAAAAAAACGGAGTCCACCTCCTCCTGACGACTGGACTTCAGTTTGTTGATCCTGTTCTGGTCGGGTCATGGGTCATCTCGCTTCCTAAGCAAGTCTGCAGACAGTAGGGCCCTGGAGCGGCTCCCACAGACTCGTAAACAGTCTCAGGCTGGTCCGGCAGATGTTCAGAGCCTCCTCAGTCCTCAGCAGGTACAGCAACCTCTGTCATGGCCTCCAGAGAGATTTTTCTTGATCAAAAACCAAAAATCTTCTTGATCAAAAACCAAATTTTTCTTTATCAAAACCCATTTTTTTCTTTATCAAAAACCCCCAATCAATGTATCACCCTTTAGAGTCAGGTTTTTTGAGTCACAATATCTGCTTGAAGCTTGGATCTGAAATCTATCTCTTTGGGGCATCTCTACACTGCAAAAACCAATGAAAAATAAATAAAAAAATTAAAATTCTAACTGCCTTAAAACAAGATTTGTCAATGGGACAAAACAAAATCATCTTGTTTTACAAAGATACAAGAAATGTCTCAGTTGGAATGAGAAAATAAAGCAACAGTTCTTGAAAAAAGACTAAAGGGCTTTGTGTTAAAGACTGTTAAAGACTTTTCTTTTTTCCTGTGCATACAACTAAAGAATTTTATCTTTTTAACACACCTTGTTATTTATTGTTGTAACTTTTTGTGTTTTTAACTATTTTATTGTTTTTAATTACTTGTGTGATTCTTATGTTTTTAAATTACTTATGTGATTTTAATGCTTTTTAATTACATATGTGTTTTTAATTGTATTTTAATGGTGATGATTTGTGCATTGTGTGGTGTGGACTGTGAGGCGCTTTGTGTTGCCCTGTGCAGGAAAAGCGCCCTATAAATAAAGATTGATTGATTGATTGATTTGTCCCGTTTGAGAATCTGTTTTAACAAGGATAAAAACCACTCGATTCAAGCAATTTTTACCTCATATTTGATCATTTTTTGCAGTGGATCATGTAGTTTAGTCACTTTTACCATCAAACTGCTTCTCAACCACCTGGTAAAGGCTTACGATTAAAAAACTCTGAACAAAAAAATAAACATTAGACAAATCATGTGTGTTATTGGTGCTCCTACATCAAAATAATAAAAAAGTACATCCTTAGATCACTTACTTACTTTCTCCAAGAAGTGAAGCCACAAGAAGCCAGCGCAGAGACCTGAGAACTGGACTATTGTGATGGCACTTCCTGGTTCTAGTCTGGACTTGAGCTGCAGCTGTTTTACAACCTTTACCTTTTACCCAGCCAGCTGTTGTGTGTGCGGACTGGGTCGCCGAGGTCTCCGCCTTCGACCGCTGCCCAGTCCTCTCTGCACCGCTTCGCCACCACGGACCCCTCTGCGGGTGGTGGGCCCACAGGAGGGACTGCCCACGTCGTCCATTCGGGCTGAGCCCGGCCGGGCCCCGTGGGCTGAGGCCCGGCCACCAGGCGCTCGCATACGAGCCCCGACCCCAGGCCTGGCTCCAGGGTGGGGCCCCGGCTGTGCCATGCCGGGCGACGTCACTGATCTCATATCTGTGCTGTCCATGGTGTCTTCTGGACTGCTCTTTGTCTGACTCGTCACCTGAGACCTGTCTGCCATGGGAGACCCTACCAGGGGCATGAAGCCCCAGACAGCATAGCTCCCAGGATCATCCGAGTACTCAAACTCCCCCACCACGTTAAGGTGGCAGTCCAGGGGGGAGAGAAAGAGAGGGGCGGAGCTGTCAACCGATCATCACCTGGTCGTGAGTTGGATCCGCTGGCAGGGGAAGAAGCCGGTCAGACCTGGCAGACCCAAGCGTATAGTGAGGGTCTGCTGGGAACGTCTCGCTGAGCCCCCTGTCAGACGGACTTTCAACTCACACCTCCGGGAGAGTTTCTCCCAGGTCCCGGCGGAGGAGGGGGACATGGAGTCCGAGTGGACCATGTTCTCTGCCTCAATCGCCGATGCGGCGGCTCGTAGCTGTGGTCGCAAGGTCTCTGGTGCTGGTCCCGGCGGCAACCCCCGAACCCGGTGGTGGACACCGGCAGTAAGGGATGCTGTCAGGCTGAAGAAGGAGTCCTATCGAGCCATGATGGTTTGGGGGACTCCTGAGGCAGCTGTCCAGTACCGGCAGGCCAAGCGTGCCGCGGCCCGGGCTGTTGCAGAGGCAAAAACCCGGGACTGGGAGGAGTTCGGAGAGTCCATGGAGCATGACTATCGGTCGGCCTCGAAGAGATTCTGGCAAACGATCCGGCGCCTCAGGAGGGAGAAGCAGTTCTTTGCCAACACCATGTACGGTGCGGGTGGAGAGCTGCTGACCTCGACTGGGGATATTGTCGGGCGGTGGAAGGAATACTTTGAGGTTCTCCTCAATCCCCCCATCACATCCTCTGTTTCAGAGGCTGAGGATGTTGGGGCGGACACATCCATCTCCCTGGCTGAGGTCACCAAGGTGGTTGGTAGCCTCCATGGTGGCGAGGCTCCGGGTGTGGATGAGATCCGCCCTGATTGTCTAAAGTCTCTGGATGTTGTAGGACTGTGTTGGCTGACACGTCTCTGCAACATCGCGTGGCGATCGGGGGCAGTGCCAATGAAGTGGCAGACCGGTGTGGTGGTCCCTCTCTACAAGAAGGGGGACCGGAGGGTATGTTCCAATTATCGTGGGATCACACTCCTCAACCTCCCCGGTAAGGTCTACTCCAAGGTACTGGAGAGGAGGCTACGGCCGATGGTCGAATCTTGGATCCAGGAGGGGCAGTGTGGTTTTCGTCCCGGTCGTGGAACACTGGACCAGCTCTATTCTCTCCATCGGATACTCGAGGGTTCATGGGAGTTCGCCCAACCTGTCCACATGTGCTTTGTGGATTTGGAGAAGGCGTTCGACTGTGTTCCCCGGGGTGTCCTTTGGGGGGTTCTCCGGGAGTACGGGGTCGGAGGTCCTCTGCTGAGGACCATCCGATCCCTGTATGACCGGAGCCAGAGCTGTGTTCGCATTGCTGGCAGTAAGTCAGACCTGTTCCCGGTGAATGTTGGCCTCCGACAGGGCTGCCCTTTGTCACCGGTTCTGTTCACTGTATTTATGGACAGAATATCTAGGCGCAGCCAGGGGTCGGAGGGGGTCCGGTTCGGAGACCACAGGATTTCATCTCTGCTGTTTGCGGACGATGTTGTCCTGTTGGCTCCAACAAACCAGGACCTGCAGCATGCACTGGGGCGGTTTGCAGCCGAGTGTGAAGCGGCTGGGATGAGAATCAGCACCTCCAAATCCGAGGCCATGGTGCTCGACCGGAAAAAGGTGCCTTGCCCTCTGCAGGTGGGTGGAGAGGTCCTTCCTCAAGTGGAGGAGGTCAAGTATCTCGGGGTCTTGTTCACGAGTGAGGGAAGAATGGAGCGTGAGATTGACAGGCGGATCGGTGCAGCGTGCGCAGTGATGCGGTCGCTGTATCGGACCGTTGTGGTAAAGAGGGAGCTGAGCCGAAAGGCAAAGCTCTCGATTTACCGGTCAATCTTCGTTCCCTCCCTCATCTATGGTCATGAGCTTTGGGTAATGACCGAAAGATCAAATCGCGGATACAAGCGGTCGAAATGAGCTTCCTCCGCAGAGTGGCTGGGCGCTCCCTTAGAGATAGGGTGAGGAGCTCAGTCACACGGGAGGAGCTCGGAGTAGAGCCGCTGCTTCTCCACGTCGAGAGGAACCAGTTGAGGTGGCTCGGGCATCTGTTCCGGATGCCTCCTGGACGCCTCCCTGGGGAGGTGTTCCGGGCACGTCCCACCGGGAGGAGGCCCTGCGGAAGACCTAGGACACGCTGGAGAGACTATGTCTCTCAGCTGGCCTGGGAACGCCTTGGGGTCCCCCCGGACGAGCTGGAGGAAGTGTGTGTGGATAGGGAAGTCTGGGCGTCTCTGCTTAGACTGCTGCCCCCGCGACCCGGCAACGGATAAAGCGGAAGAAAATGGATGGATGGATGGACCTTTTACCCAGGATGCAAAGTACCATAACTGATTGTAGATGAAGCACATACCTCCCAGTGACTCGCACACTTTTCTTGTGGCTCGTACTGACTCCTGCTCCGTCCACCTGGTCTCCACTCCCCTCCTGGTCCTGAGGCACCAGCAAACAAAAAAATAAAGATATATGTAAGGTTAAACTTAGGACAGGGCCAAGCCTGTCCACTCTGTTTACCATTGACCAAATGGAGAGATACAGCTTCAAAGGAGCCATGGGGTCAGCCACAAGCCGCCATCAATCATGAGGATTACAGATGCCAAAAAGAGCAATAAAGTCACCACGGGGATAAGCACCTCTGTCTCTGCCTGCCTGTAGAGATCAAAGATCACAACCCTGCCCTCGCTCACAGACTCCTGCCACCGGACAATCAAAGACTCCCCCGCGGCGCTCTGACGCCCCCTTGTGAACAATGGACACTATCACACCCGGGACGGACAATTGCGAACCGGTACCCCTGGGTCCAGTACTCCAATAATCTGCATTGTGCCCCATATGTGTGTATCAATGTCAAAGTAATGAAATACGGTGTGTGTTTGTACATGTCTTATGATTATTAGCATCAATCCTGTGTGTTTCCTTTACAAACTGTCTGTTGTAAAAGGGGTCTGTCCACAGAGGGCAGGGGCGGCATGGACACGCCCCCTGGGAAGCCTATATGAGCACCCACACGCCATTGTTCTCGCTCTTGCCTTCTCCTGAAATCACTATTCCAACCTCCCTGGCCATCGGCGTCCCGCGGCACGTGTCTCCTACTACGGTCGCGCCAGCACGCATCGGGCCTTCTACTCCGCCAAACATACTCTCCTCTGGTTGGGATTTATGAACTCTTCATCACCAGCCGGCCCTGGCTCTGGACTCTGCGCACGTGACTCATTCCGGACTGAGTGTGCACGCCTGGATCCAAAGTTGGACTGCCGTCGCTGGCTTCATAATTCCCGCCTGCCCGGACAAAGAAACCACGTGGACGACATCGCCTCCACCCTATTCTGCATTCTCATCCTCCACTCCATCCTCATCCCAGTCACCCACTTCCCTCTACGCTCCTTCAAAGTAAGACTGTTCCTTTGTTAAATGTATGATTTGAATGATATGTGTACAACTCCTGCTTTTAATGTGACCAGAAATCCCTTTTCGTTATATTTTTACCCTCATTTTTGTAATCAATAAACTACTTTTCTTTAACTCAACCCCTTCAGAGTCGCGTTGTTAGATCTCGGAATATCACTGGCCGATAAAAGTACTCACTACCTATTAGACTTATAAGACTGACTCGAGGCAAAGTTGGTTTGGATCTGTGCAGTGTGTCATACACTGCTGGTGCCTAAATAAATATAAAGCAGATCCCCCACTCGAATAGGACGGCCAGACTCTGATTTGAAGACCAGCCGCACTATTCTTCTCATAAAATAATCTGATGTATTATTACCCTAATACATATAATTATTACCCTACAGTATTGGTACCCTGTTTGTGAGATCCGCGAATATAGACCAGATTTATCGACTCGTACTCTGTGAATTGACCGGTTAATATACGCTAACTTAGACTGCTGCTCCGCTCAAAGCGCTTCCCCCCACTCCCGCACCCCCTCTGTCCCTGCTACCCCCGTTGCTATAGTGACTTCAACGGCAATCGAGCTCCCCTACGCCCCACGCTTGCGATAAAAGCGTCTCGTGCATGCACCAGACTATTAATTTAGTCTCAAAACCCTGGCTTTGGCACAGGTACTACGCATTCTCTCCAACGTTTTTCCCCGCTTGGCCAGCGGGCAGCGTGAGTCTGTGAAGTCGCTTCCCTCTGAAGAGAAAGCGCAAAACCTTATTCTTATAACTCCACTGTACACCGTGTCCAGAACACGGGTGTACGGATCTACTGTGTCCCTTGGTGACCCAGGTCACACAGGATTTTAACCGAGTATATCTGTGTAAAAGGCTGTAAATGGCAGCTGTTTGAATGTGATGCTATCGTTTTGCTAAAGGCGGCTAACGCTAACTCTGTCTCACCACTCTCTCTGCCTGCTAACCTGCTGTTGTACACACACACCAGCACCCTACAGTACATACATACAAACCCCATTCCACCACTGTGATTACGTGCTTGTGCGAACTGTATAACTCGCTCCAGACTTTCGTGTATAAACTGCTGCTACAATGTACCGTTGCCGGCAAGCTAAATGCTAGCTACGCTCCTTTGTTTTTAGCATACGGCTAAACTTCCGCCCGGGCCCCGCTAGCCTCAAAGCTAACTCTGACAACGCCGTTGCTCCTACTACTGCTCCCACTATACGCTGCTTCTCTACCGTTAAAACTAGTGCCACTCTGTTTAACCGAACTGCATTCGGTCACCAAAACTCATTGTTTATTGCCTACACTGCTGCCAAAATGTCCCGTTGCCGGCAAGCTACATGCTAGCTACGCTCCTTTGTTTTTAGCATACGGCTAACTTTCGGCCCTGGCGCGCTAAAAGCCAGAACCGCATCCCCACTGCTAATACCATTCTGCTGCATTGTCTACCTGCTGTCTAACAATAACACTACTTACTATACTTCGTACTATCCTATCCCACTCTGATTCTGTGTTCTGACGATCATAAGGCGCCAGCCGTCTCGGCATACTGCTAAACGGGCCGCACCTCTTATTGTCTAAACACAAAATTGCTTTCCGGTCCCGGCACTACTTCCGGGACCACATTGCTGCTGTCTTGACTTTTACCCTGCACCACGTCTCATGATCAAGTGATTGGCTGTGGTTGTAACATTAACACTGTTTTGGCTGTTGTCCCTTGCTGTTTCTGTTCCAACTAAAATCTCTACTTTGCCAAACTTGATGTTTGATTGTACTAAACTAATACGCTAATTCCGCCCCTCCTTGCACTAAACTAAAACTAATAATTTTAATCCTGCCCCTTCTTCTGCATGTCACGCCTAGACCACACTGCTGCCCATGGTGGTAACATTAACACGGTCTAGCTGTTGTTCCATGCTGTTTTGATTGCTCAAACTAATAACCACTCTATGTTTGATTGTACTACACTGAAACGAATCATTTTAATTCCGCCCCCTTCTGCATGTCATATTGTTTTATTAGAACACATTACTGCTATACATAACAAAAGCTAACGCTCTGTTTCTGCTTCTCCTCTTAAACATAATTGTTAAGCTACATTGCTGCATTAGCCAAGGTTAATGCTGTAAACTCTGCTCTCCTTCTGCTGCATGTCGCTGGTGATACGCATTCTATGCTTTATTCCTGCTCACTCACTACTGCTAGTTTACAGTAACACATCTGTGTGGTGATTTAACAAACACTGCACTCCCACACACCCCCGCCCCCTCCTTGCCACTGATAATAGCACATTGCTGTGGTAACTAATCCTATTCTGTACTCCTGCTCCTGTATGATGCGCGTTATTGTTGAACCACATCGGCGTGTGATCTGACAGATACTGCACTCCCACCTAGTGGTGAAACTAACACTCTACTATGCCAAACTCTATGTTTGATTGTACTACATCAAAACTAATACTCTATTTCTAACCCTCACTGTCGCTAAAACTGCATTACCTTGCCTCAGCCTGCTGCCTTTTTGCTACTGCTTACTTGAGCTGCGTCTAAAGCTACGCCGCGGCCCAAAACGCAAGTGCGCAACCAAACGCAAGTGCGCGACAGAACGCAAGTGCGAGACAAACGCAAGTGCGAGACAAACGCAAGTGCGAGACAAACGCAAGTGCGAGACAAACGCAAGTGCGAGACAAACGCAAGTGCGAGACAAACGCAAGTGCGAGACAAACGCAAGTGCGAGACAAACGCAAGTGCGAGACAAACGCAAGTGCGAGACAAACGCAAGTGCGAGACAAACGCAAGTGCGAGACAAACGCAAGTGCGAGACAAACGCAAGTGCGAGACAAACGCAAGTGCGAGACAAACGCAAGTGCGAGACCAAACGCAAGTGCGAGACCAAACGCAAGTGCGAGACCAAACGCAAGTGCGAGACCAAACGCAAGTGCGAGACCAAACGCAAGTGCGAGACCAAACGCAAGTGCGAGACCAAACGCAAGTGCGAGACCAAACGCAGGTGCATCTCACGCTGCGTCTACCTCTGCGGATTAACGCCGCGCCCTAATACTGCTGCTGGCGCCACTGCTAACCCTACGTGCGCCAACGCCACTAACCCCAACGCTCTCCGCTGACACACAGGTGAAGAAGTACTAACGCCCGGCCCCTGCCCTAGGCCGCCTACTCGCATACACCGCCACACGGAGAGGACGCTGTAGTCACGGTTTTGACACACACCAAGGTCTACACCACCACACGACCAACAGCTAAACTACCCTCTCTATAGCACTGCTTTCCTCCTTTCCCTCCTCCCACTGTGTCGTACACACACGTTCCAAGTCATACTCGCATACACTCACCCACACAAATATGGAAATCGATGGCGGAAACTCGCCACGACCGAGCAGGCACGACGGTGTCTCAGAAGGACACGGCATAGTGGATAACTTTCTGCGAGACCTCACAGAGAAGTTATTCCCAGGGGGCTACGACACGCTTGAGCACAGCTCACTCTCTGACTTACAAGATGCTACCTCCAGATTAGCATCCGAAGCTACTACGACAAAACTCCAAGGTAAGACCCTAACCCAGTGGCTAGGACGACTGGCCATAATCTCCAGGATAACCTTGCGCGACTCCGAAGCCCAGAAAGCAAGGCTCCAAAACACAGTGAGTGACCTGGAACGACAACTGGCGGAAACTAGGAAATCCGCCGCGACCCGCTTACAACAAATCCCACAGGTAAGTAGGGACCACCAACAGGGACTGAGCATGACTCCAAGCGCGACCATGGATCTTGATCGCGCAGCGGAAATCAGGACCGCTATTTCGAACGGAACCAGCCGTGACAGTACCTCCGGCCCACACTCCCCTCGCTCCGACCGCGGCGAACCATCGTCCAACTGTGAACGCAGGAGCGTGGCCGAACTGGTAAGTATCATGACGGGAAAGGACCAAAATCAAGGTCATAGGAACAATACACAACCCAACATTGGACACGTCGACCACTGCGACCCCCACGACGCCCCTCCGGGAACACACATGGACATGCGACACAGACAACATGACTATCCGACCCATGACCCCGGCCCACCTGACGTCCATACGAGACATGTTTCAGACCGCAGCCATTGGGACGAAAGGGCCCGCCCTCAACATAGCGGACAAACCTACAACGACCCCCCTGGCCCACACCTGAACATGCTACATGGACCACACGACTTACGGTGCCCCAAGTCTGGGCCGTCCGCATATGCTGCGACACAATGGCCAGTGACCCGCGATGGGAACGCCGGGGACCTCCCCAAACATGGAGGACAACCCCACGGCGACCCCCCTGACGCACGCCAGGACTTAACCCTAGGCCAACGGGACTACCCGGACTGGGGGGGGACGGCCCCCGACCTCGACAGGTCGGACTTAGCCTCCCTCCGACACGACAACCCCACACTAGAACGCCCCTTCGACGTCACGATCGACACGACGCTCGGAACCCCCGGCCGTGATGAAGAAATAATGCCGATACGCCATGGGCTGTTAGATTCTGCTTCCGATACACTCACTTCGTCGGTACTCGTGGTGCCTCGAAGCATGAGGGGGGTAATGTTGGCACACGCCCATGACGCACCTACCGCGAAACAAACAGGTATAAACAACACACGTCAGGCACTAC